ACTAGGTGCGTTCCTCTAAGTCTTCCTACCAATGTGACCATGTTGCGAAAACAAGGTCAAACAACCTCTAACTCTACATACTTGCAAATAAATGAAGTTACTTCACCAACCGGAATTGCGTTCGGTGGCATCTATTTCCTTACACAAATAAACTAGCCTAAGATCCGCCAATGATGAATCATGTTTTGGCTCGTGCTACTGTCTTCTGTGTGTATGCAATGTTTATGCCATGGGATGATCATAGCTAGACTATAGGCTAATCCAGCTTCCTTCTCTTCTTCCGTGGCTCTTCCTGCCCACCCTATCTCTATTTCCCTCTCCTTAAACCTATCTAACAATCACAACTAGTTCCTACTCAGTTTTCTGCATCCGTTTCTCCTATTCACAATTTTGCTTGCTTTCTTAATTTCTATAGACTCCCTAATCTTACGCTTTGATAGGAAGTCCCCGTAACCCACAAAACGGTGTGTTTTAAACAAGGCTACTGAATTTTTCGTTCATAAGTAGGGTTTCAAGACTAATTATACATCTCTTATAAGCCTATTGAATGTCTTGTATTGACAAAATGTGTTCAGCGAGCTCAAATTTTTGACTCATAGACCTCTAAAAGCGGTTTTGTGTTCGCATAGCCTCTTTTGGATGGGTCGACAGGTCTGCCCCACATGAACGTTGCCAATTAAGCACAAAATCTTGTATCAGCCTGATCTAGAATGAAGGACCGAAAATTCTCTAAACGAAGGAACTACTGAAGAAAGTGTTAATTTCTCTTTATACATTGTTTTAACGATCCACTTCCTCAGTAGATCACCCAACTTTTTCGCAGGCAGGCATAAAAGGCAAAATCAAAAAACGAACAGAATAATCCAATTGTCTATCCCGCCCCATATAGTAAACTCGCTTCATTTTGTTATTGACAATTAAAAAGCAATTGTCTACTAATCCTAATTGTTTTTAAACAATATTTGCCTCAATCTACCGATCTCCTGGTCCCTGTGGTTTACATCTGCTAGACGCAAACAATAGCAAAAGCCTAAACATGAATCAACATTAGATGATCCTACGTTAGTTTATTTGTATAAAAAAACAGCTGCCCTCGAACGCCCTTCCAGTTAGTAAAGTAGCTTTACACATTTTCAAGCATGTAGGGTTAATTTGAGTTGGCCAACCAAATCAGGAGATCCCACATTAAGATAGCAAGGTTAGGTGTAAAAAAAAGTGACTAGGGTTGTAGCCGGCAACCTTTTCGCTTGGTTTCGTATATTTTGCTATAATTCTTTAAATCTGGCTCCTTGCTCTAATGATGTCTGTAACGACGGACTAACTTGCAAAAACTGAATCAGATCACTTCTATATCTTATTGCTGTGACGATGTCTATATCAGGATAGATAAAAGATGAACCCACATTAATCGGGGTTGCAGAACAGTTAGCCAAGAATTACCTTGTGCAATTCCACAGACTTCATTCAGTGGCAATCAATCCTTCTTCGATGCCCTACAAGAACAATTCACTAATGGCTTTCAGCCAAGTTATTTATATTGCTCACCCAATGAGAATGGGCCCTAAGCTGGACCAACGGCCTTGTGCCTGTCATGTCGCCATGGATACCAGAATTTTCTATGACTGAGCTCCTGCACTCGGACGATTCACTTCGAAGTGTGCTGTCAAGCTCCTTTTCACTCTTCACCGCCCCCGAAAACTCCCTACTCAAAGTGGACGCAACACCAGTATTGGTAGACGACGATGGATAGGATCCAGAAGCCAAATAGCGTAAATCCCATAGCTTCACACAGCCATCATCGCCGCCAGTGGCGAGGATATGTGGTCGGTGCGGATTGTAGTCGAGATCTCGGACGCAGGGCCAGTGAGCAGACTTCAACCAGAAACATGGGCTGTTAGTGTAAAAAACAATTTAGAGGGAAAAACAGATTTAGAGGATAGCGAAATTAATGGACCTGCATCAGCAAGTAAAAAGATGGATTTATTTAAGGAGGAAACTCAAAAATATGAAGAAAAATTGGGTTTCGAAGAATTCATTAATGAAACATTGTGGCATGACTCTATTTCGAATGGAAAATTGGTTTAAGGAATTCGTGATGTGGTCTCACCGGAAACCGAAGGAGGATTGCGGCGTAGGAAAGATTGTTGAATTGTGCGAAGAAGTCCTTGGCTTATCGTCCTGCGGCCCCGATGAAACTGTGCTGAGCTTCCGTCTGTACTGTACCAGACATCATCAGAGCAGGTATCCATACTTCACGAAAGCAAAAATATACTAAGCCAAGAAAAGGCTGCATCCCTAATCGCCTTTTATACACCTAACGCCGCGATCTTAATGATGCATCCCATGATTCGGTTGGCTACTTCAACCTTACTCTGCATGCTTCAAAATGAGTTGAATTACCTTATGAGCCGGAAGTGTGTTTGGTGGCAGCTGTTTTATTACACAACAAACTA